TGTAACACCCATAAAAGTTCATAAAAATTTTAAACTTTTAAATAGAAAAAACTACCATTTATTACAAATTGTTTTCAAACAAGTTTAACATTGGATAAATCCTAGAAGTCACAACACAAAATATGAGGAGGTGCGCGATCAAGTCTTCACTTTTTCGCAATCATCAAAGGTACCTGAATCAAAAATCTAAAACTGTAAGCCCAAATCTTAATGAGTTTCCCCTAAAATACCACAACATACAACTAAAACAGTATCATGAACAAACAGTATGCATAAGAGTCTTCAACATGACTGAACCACTTCAGTGGGCCTTTAGCCTCTCTGGAGCACTCACAGAACATTCAACATGGTTGGACCGCCTCATCGGTCCTTAAGCCTATCTGGATTGTTCTCCGGGCCTTCGGCCTGACTGATATGCCCCGTTGGACCTTCAGTCTATCCGGGCAGCCCTGGGTCTTTCAGCCTTCAACACACAACTACCATGGTTATGTTAGCCTTCAGCACACAACATGACCACCTCAAGCCATGTGTAGTACGGGTTAATACTACCTTCCACACTACCCATGTGTATCTCAAGGATCATCAAAACACCCTAACAATACTCATAAGCATAAACGAACACTCAATCCTCATTCTTATAGGAAACTAAACATCTCACGACTGGTCGACTAACCTCACACAACTCAACCATGTAACTTCCACCAGCCCTGCAGTACTCATGTATGCTAGCCATACATAACACTGGACCCCATAGACTTTCGAATATCTGATCCTACCCTAAGCCCTTCATCAGATAAGAACAAGAAATAAGGCTAAACTAAACATTCTCAGGCTATAAGATCTTAGTTATATACAACCATGATTCATACACTAAGCAAATACAATAATGATGTCAATTTCATAAAAGAAAAGACCTCAGCTATCAGGAATCATATAATCAGGCAATTCTATCATGTAATTTCTAAAGATCCTTAGCCCATCACTAGCATGTTGTTCTATCATATCACAATCATCAAACAGTAATATGGTATTTTGGGGTCTACTTACTGGCTCCAACTGATCGTATACATCGCATCCTCCTTTATTATTTTGAAAATCGTATAAAAATCATTTTTGAAAATCTTTTCCATACTTTGAGATTGGATTAAAACGGGTGTTCCTCCAACTCACTCAAACCAAGGCTCTGTAACCAACTTGTAACACCCATAAAAGTTCATAAAAATTTTAAACTTTTAAATAGAAAAAACTACCATTTATTACAAATTGTTTTCAAACAAGTTTAACATTGGAGAAATCCTAGAAGTCACAACACAAAATATGAGGAGGTGCGCGATCAAGTCTTCACTTTTTCGCGATCATCAAAGGTACCTGAATCAAAAATCTAAAACTGTAAGCCCAAATCTTAATGAGTTTCCCCTAAAATACCACAACATACAACTAAAACAGTATCATGAACAAACAGTATGCATAAGAGTCTTCAACATGACTGAACCACTTCAGTGGGCCTTTAGCCTCTCTGGAGCACTCACAGAACATTCAACATGGTTGGACCACCTCATCGGTCCTTAAGCCTATCTGGACTGTTCTCCAGGCCTTCGGCCTGACTGATATGCCCCGTTGGACCTTCAGTCTATCCGGGCAGCCCTGGGTCTTTCAGCCTTCAACACACAACTACCATGGTTATGTCAGCCTTCAGCACACAACATGACCACCTCAAGCCACCCACCATCACACAATATCACATAAATATCAAATGCCAACTATCATATACAATAATCATGCAAGCCTAACATATCATCAATCTTAGCATCATCCTCTATACTAGGATACAAATATAACAGATCACTACACATAGCATTATACGATAACCAGGATATAATCTAAAGGGACGACCTTGGTACCTTTGACCATGTTAGTAGAGTGAGGAGAACTCACCTCAAAGGTAGTGCTGAATCGGTAACATCAAATCCCAACTCCAAGACTCAACTCCAGACTCAACATCCTACAACCACAGTATAACAATTCTAACAAAACCTCCAAATACCCAGAATGCCCTCAAAGTCAAACTTGGTTAACCATTACCAAAGTCAAGTCAGTAGTCCATGTTGACCCAACTCATCAAGTGCACATGCCAACTCATCGAGTTTCATCAGTACTCAGAGAAACGAGAAAAGTCTGAGCCAACTCGCCGAGTCCTCCAGATGAGTCATCGAATTTCTACAATTTTCCAGAAGAGCGGGAAAAAACTGATCCAACTCATCGAGTTGTCAGAACAACTCATCAATTTTTACAAGATTAACTCATTCAACCCTTTTTCATCCCTTATAATACCCAAGAGTGTAGATCTGGTACCCAATAGCTGGAAAACCACGTAAAGTTGCTAACTTTACATCCATGTATGACACCAAGAGGCCAAACTACTCAAAATGACTTAATCAAAGGACTTAGAACATGAAGGATACCTAGATCTATATATAGCTTGAAACTTTAAGCCTAAAGAGGCCACAATATGCCCAGATATCAAGTGGCAACTTCTAGAAATGATCAAACCCTATAATGACTCCAAAATGATCCCAAAAAGGCAATAAACTTCCAAGTAGAAGATCTAAGCAATAAGTGCTCAAGGTTTCGACTTTATACCTCAAAATGATTGTAACAACATAGACAATCCCGGATCTACAACCTTCATCTCAATCAAGCTTCTTCAACTCCAAATTCCTTAAAATAAGATCACCAACAAACACTCCTCAAGCTCACACACACACAAATGAGAGAAATTGCACAAGATAGGGTTTCCTAGACAGAGGGGGCGGATATGGAGGCCATTTATAAGCCATAAGGCCTTTAAATTCGGTGGAACACCCAAAAAATTAGGGTTTCATATCCAGCCTTCGACTCATCGAGTTGGGGCCTTCCAATTCATCGAGTAAATCGTGAAAAATACGCGGCCATCATACCCCTACACGATGAGCCGACACCTCCCAACTCGTTGAGTTGCCCTGATATATATATATATATATATATATATATATATATATATATATATATATATATATATATATATATATATATATATATATATATATATATAAAGCTTTAAATTCATACCTGAAGATTGGGATGTTACATCAACGAGTTGCGCCTAATTTCATAATCTATTTAAAGATTATTTCTATTTGAAACCCTAACGTTTGCTGGAGACTTTTATCGTCTTTTAGAGGCCAGAGACATTCTCAAGAAGCGTTGGAACTCGGAATTCAACTAGAGGTTAATTTTGAAGAGATCATTATGAATCATGCTTTCAACATTAGATTTCGAGTTTATGTTTTTATTTGTTGAAGTTATGGGCTAAAACACCATACTTTCATTTAGAATAGATGATCTTGTGACTATGTGTTAATTAAGTGGCTTTGGATTGTATTGATTTGGTTATTTGTCTTGTTAAGCTTGTTAAAAGATGCTTATGTGTTAATGATATTTATTTTCTATTAATGACTAAGTATATTGACTTGTATGAAAATCTACTTGATTACTTGAATCTTATGGTTTGGTGAAAACAAGATTGTATGCCTAGTGTTGTGGACATAACCTAGAGTTAACTATAGAATAAATAAGTAAATGTGTGAGCATGTGTGATGACCAACCACATATGAGTTAATTGAACCAACCAATTTGACTAGCTATTATTACAAATCTTACTTGATTCAAATTGAACACTAGTAAACTCTTCAATTTAATCACTTGATCACTGCTTGAATTGATTTGTTTGCTAATAGTGAATATTAACCTAATCACATTAGAATTTGGTAATTGATGATATATTAATCCATTGCACTTGCCACGAAATAAACCATAGGAATAAGTGAACTGAATCCAAAAGGAAGTCTCTTTAATCTTATTGAATCTAGTTGTCTTTTGTTTCTCCTTTATATGTTAATTGCTCTTTGCTAAAGTATTCAAGTTATTGCTTAAGTTTCTAGTCTTACAAAACTAGAGAAAAATCCCTTTTAATAATTTTTTTATTTAGATAATATTAATAATATTTTAGTTGTTTAACATTCCCTGAGTTCGATCCCATACTTTCCTACACTAAACTACTAATCGATAGGTATACTGCCTTCCGTGTGTTTGTTTTTGTGTTTAAGTTAGTTAGGACTAAAACTAGTACATTCCAAATGTATCAATTCTGCTTGTGAATCAAAGTAAATCGTATCAAGTGAGGCATCGAAGGAGGCGGATTTGTTGAAGAACTTCATTGGCGGTGTCGGAGTAGTCCCGACCATTCAAGAACCATTGGAACTTTTTTGTGATAACAAAGGGCGGTAGATTTGACAAAAGAACCAAAGGATCATGGTAAATCCAAGCATATCGATCGAAAATACTACTATATAAGACATAGGGTTGAAGAAGGTCATCTCCTGGTGAAGCAAGTATCATCAGAAGACAATCATACAGGTCCTTACACGAAGGCTCTGAGTAGTATTAAACGAAAACCAGTACGCTAGGAGCATTGACTTGAGAGATGATGTTAGTTTTACTAGTTAGTTAATAGCTTGGAACTTTGTAATAAAATAAATGTAATTCATTTTGGCGATTGAGTAATGGAGAATTATTTATGAGTATGGTTACTGCCTTTTTCTGTTATTTATTCTTGTGTTTCATTTTGTATGTTTTACTTCCTCAATGATTTGATTATTCAAATTCCACATTTTCTCATACTTTTAGAAGTATGTAGTGAATTAAGACTATCATGAATAGATTGTAGATTGTGTATGGAGATTAGAAATTACAATGGGTTGCTACAATATTCATGAGTAATTAGAAAACATGGAGATTTTAAGTATTGGATAAAACCACAATCAGAGAATTACTTCATGGATTGTATCACAAGTCATTATGATATGATAATTCAAGTGATTTGTACTTTCTCTCTCTAGAAAACCCATTCAAAATCACTTTCTCTCTCTACAAAAACCCAAGATCTTATCGATTGATCAAATATGGAAGAAACAATTCGTGATGATTGGTTTATGGAGGATTATCCATGGTTATTCAGTTTTGAAGGAATTCTCAATTGTTTTGTAACCGAGTATTTTAACCGAAATGCACTCATTTCTAAGGAGAAATGTGACTGTGGAAAGTTCAATGGCTATCCTATTGATCATGATCATCATAAGGTGTTGCTTGATCGTTTGGTAACAACTTGTCATGAAAGAAGGAAGAAGAAGAAAGATGATGAAGTAATTGAAGAAATTCGTCTACATGAATGCAAATATGGTGATAATGTTATTGCTTCTTACCCGGATGTTCTTGATGTTCAAGAAAAAGGAGTTCAAGTTGATTCTCATGAAGATGAAAATGTTTTTTGCTCGATAGGAGTTCAAACCACTAAAAGAAAAATAGCCTTTAATGACGCGCAAACAATGACACTCACTGATTCACGTTACGCATTTTTGGGCGCCCTTAAAAATAATGTCAGACTTCCAAAATTTGAAGGATAGTGGACACGTATTTTTGTGCGCCCTTAAATTAGTGTCTCAATAAAAAAAAGAAAAAAAACACAGAGGGAACTTTATCTTAAACGTGCGTCTTCTATAGGTGTCGCTTTATATTTTTAGTGAAACGCGCCTTGAGAAGATAACGGGGGGAAAACAAAACCCTAAAAGTTTGAAAACCCGCTTTCTTTTCTAGCTTCTTTTCTTCATCTTCACAATCAACTCTCCCCTCTTGTTTCTCTATTGTGAGAAGTGACGGAAAGAAGGGAGACTAGGATGGATCTACCGGTAATGATGAACGGAGGTGCTTTCCGGTCAATTTCGATGGTTGTTTCCCTCTTGCCCTAATCACGTCGTCGCCGCGAATCACACACCGCCTGGCAGTGGAAGATGATGATGAAGTTTTTCGTTGTTGTATGCCACCCTCTCTCTCTGTCTCTAACTATCTCTGACCTTTCTTTATGAAGATGATGAAGTTCATCTTCCTTCATCTTCTCGGTTTTCCATCAGGTAATTATCGGGTTCGCTCGTGATGCTAAACTTCATAAAAGAGTTCTTTTCCGGTCTTAGCATGTTCCCGGGTAGCTGAACTTCTTTCATCTCTCGGGATCGATCTTAACCTCCTATTCACCCCTCTACAGCCTTACTTGTAAGTCCACACCACACTTGTTCTTATCTTATTCTGGAAAATCAAGAAACATTCGAAAAACCTTAGGGTTTCGCTTCTTATCATTGGTGAGGTCGCGTTTCTTCTTATCAGTACTAGGGTCTCGTTTCTTATCATCAGTGAGTCCTCGTTTCTTCTTATCAGTATCAGATTTCATCTTGGCGAGGGGCCAGATTGACAAGACCTGTGAGACTTCTGAGATTGCTCCATGTTCCTTGTGTGGCTGTGTGAGGATACATAGATTAATGGTTGCGATAGGGGTTAGCAAAGGTCCTTATTTCTTCTCTACCAGGTATAATAATTGTTGCTTAAAATGGTTACTTTTTCCTATTCATCAGTGTTAGGGCTTATTTCTTCTCTGGGAAAAATTTGATTCTTTTTCTGATTTGGGAACCAAAACACGCTAATGGTCTGATGATTCCTTAACCTATGAACATTCACATTTATCTGTTATAGTGAACATCAAATCTTTTGTTTGGATACAATAACAAGCAAATATACCTGCTGCTTATTTAAGTTCAAATATGGAGTGGACCAAACAACAAGACATTCTCAGAGATCTTTGTTCAGGGCATTGCAGTTACATTCAATTTACACACTTCAATGTGTTTCCCAGTGCACTATATACATATCTATTTCAGAGGTGATATTTTGTCATTATATCTTTCCTTGCTATTGTAATTATTTGATCTTATTGATGCTTGCTTTGATATATCTTTGATAAAGACATGAATGCCCTCCTCACAAGAATTCCATCCAACTAAGCAAACCCTTAAGTTTCTTTCTTCAATGATCCCGAATATTAGATATTTCACAACTTTCGATAACTTCACCTGATCATCACCCTTTCTGCTTTTATTTCTTATTCTTGAATGGACTTCAATTTCAATTTTTTCTCTTGCTATTGCAGACAGGTCACTCAACTTACCCTGGTTCACCTTTGGGACCAGATACTTTTCGTGAATATCAAATCTTACTTGTCCAAGATTATGAGGAACTAATGAAGAAAAACAATCAAAACTCTATATACAAAAATAGCAACAAACCTAAGGAGAATCCATTGATTGGAAATTTTGGAGATCTTATTTGCAAAAATCTTCAGGCCAATGTGTCACAATTCAAATGCTTGGGAGACTTGCAGGTTGCTTCTTCACACAACTGATTTTTTTTTACCATTTATAAAACAGTAAAAATCATTTTCCGTTTTTTACCAGATTACAGCGGAAAGTACATTGTTCTTCATTGTTATTAACTTTCAGGTATATATATTATATAAACATGTATAGATTAGGATTATTTAGTAATTACTATTTTTGTGATCATTTAATTAATTAGGTGCCAGGTTCAACACATTATAATCTTGCTTCCTATTTTATCGCTTGAAGTTTGAAGGATATTATTGTAATTTGGTGGTATATTAGGTGTTGTGTTTGCCTGAGAGTGAGAGTTAGCAGAGGTAGGAACCGCTGTGAAGCTTTCCGCTCCAAAACCCCAACTGGTGGTGCCGCCTTCAACCGCTTGCTTGTTCTGGTGCCCATTGTTTCTTGTTCTAAAAGATTTGGATTTGTTTCTTGTTCTGGTGCCTTCAGCCGCTTGCTTGTTCAAGGTTATTAGCTAAAGTATGCCCTCAATCTTATCATGTTAATTTATGACAAATACTTTTTCTTTTTGTTGTAAACTTCATGAAGTTATGAATTACTATTCTTGACAGATGGGAAGAGAGACTCGAAGATCTCTTTAATGGTTGACCCTTTGACATGCTTGATGCTACCCTCACAGACATCGTTCAAAAGTTCCCACTAGACATTAAGGTAATACCCTAAGGACTCGAGAACAAGATAATTGAACTACAAGTGTCGGTTGACCGCAAACCCAATAGCCGTTGACCAACACAACTGTAAGTGCAAAACTCAACCATGACTTTTCTAGCAATGAAAACACGATTACAATTGGTAGCAATATTTTACATAAAAAAATGCAGAGTCTTGACAAAACTTTAAAACAATATTTTATATAAAAAATGAACTTGTGTTAAAATTATGTTTATTTATTATATGTAGAGTCTTGACAAAAGTTGTTTAGGTCCTTTGAGGAAAGCTTATTGCAGCTCTCTTAATCTACTTTTAAGGCATGAGGTATGTTCAACTAATTAGTATAATTCATACGTACAAATATAAATAAATATTAAAAAAGTTAAAAATTCTTTTTTTTAGGCACATGAATTTTCTAATGAGCTTAGAGCAATTACAAAAGCATCAACAAATCCAACTGTTTTGCTCGAAGGTTCAACTGGTTCAAATCAAAATGTAAACAAAGCAGATACTTCCACTGCTCTGAATAATATGCCAAAATGCTCACCATATTTATCCCACTCCTTTTTGATGAGGTTATTAATATAATTCTTCATTTTTTTGGTTTATTTTAGATGAAAGTTTCTAAATCGATTTATTTCCTTCACATAGTTCCTTTTTTTCACACTTCATGTGCTTTGGAGTTTCTGCACTCGCTCAACAAGGAAGTCCTGCAAATGGCAATAAAACAAACGAGGAAGATTTAGGCATTATGGACATCGATGATAATGATGACGACGACAACAACAACAACAAAAGTAAAAATAAAAAACAAAAAATTTCAATTCATTTCCATTTTCCACCTAATTTATATACTGTTGTTGACCTTTCATTTCCATTTTTCCACCTAATTTAACACTTCAGTTCAAGATTTGGTAACTTACCTGAGATCTGCTATTGACATTCTGTTTCTTTGTGGACTAGTCCAGCAGGACTCATCACATGCATGACACAAGGAACTACTAGTCTTCTTAGTAATACAATTTATGCCATAAGTGATGCTGCCACCCAAGTCAGTTGAGCAGCACATAAGGTACATTTAATTCCTATTTTTATTTTTAAGTCCATGGTGTTAAATTAAACTAAGATGTTGCCCAGGGTATTGTTGCTTTTACAATGGACGACCCATCTACATCAGCTTTTTATCTATTTATTTTTTCTATTATCATATCTTGTCACTTCTCAATGACATTATGTGTTTGTTATAGGATCAAGTTCCAGAGAATGATGTCAAAGGAATTTCTAAGGATAAACCACTGTATGATCTATTTGTTTCTTTACTTTAATGAGTAAAATTAAAGTTCTAAGGATATTCATATTCCCCTTCATTCTTGATTTATATATCTACATGGTATAATTATTTTTAATTCTTCCTTTTGCAAAAAGGTATGCTTTTGATCAGTAGGAGGCTTTGCTCTCCTTGAAGAAGAGTGGCAAAATTGATGAATTATTATTACAAGTAAAGCCAGCTGTCCATTGAGTATTGCATGGAGGTAATTACTATAATGCCCTTTTCTTATATTTACTTTGAAAATGTTAATTCTTACCTTTTGTCTATGTAGGATCCACCAGGAGCAGGAAAAACACAAACAATTCTTGGGCTTCTTAGTGCCATATTACAAACCAACTTAGTATATAAGTCTCGTAGTAACTTATGCAGGTAACAATATTGTTCATAGCTGGGCTGTTAATGTTCCTGTTTGTTTTCATTTATGCAGGTAACAATCTTGTTGAAAGGACTTATGAATCAGATATTAATGGTAACAAGTTTAACACTCGAGTCCATACGATTAGATGTTAATGGTAACAAGTTTAACACATGTGTCTTTGTTATGCATGCAAATTAAATGCAATGGATTGTATTTTTTGTATATGGTATTTTATTTTATATTACGCAATGGATTGTATTTTTTGTATATGGTATTTTATTTCTATTATGAGAGATTAAATGCAAATTTAATTTATAAATTAATAAATATATAAATATATTTTTTTAAAAAAAAATTAAAATTATGATACGGAAAAATGTGTGTCATCTACATTTATGACATGGCCTTTCTTGACTGGTGCTTCCTTGATACGCATTTCGTGTCATAAACACGCGGGTCGTAAGGTTACGACACGCAAATGCGTGTCGTCTTCCTTTATGACAGGGCCTTCCTTGATACGCAATGCGTGTCATAACCACGCGTCGTAAATGCACGTCATAAATGCGCGTCCTCTATAGACGACGTGCAAAACGCGTCATCTCTCTTTATGACAGGGCCTTCCTTGACGCGCATTCGCGTGTCGTCTGAGCGTTTTACTACGTGCAATGAGCGTCGTAAAAGGCCTTTTTTCTAGTAGTGAACCGATGATATTTTGTGTTCTTGTGATTCATTGAAGGAAGGATTCCTTATCGAAAGCGGGTAATCCAAGAAATTCACAAGTATCAAACTCCAAAAGATTTGATTCAAACTCACAAAGATAATGTTCTGGAAAGTGGGTTTGTTCATGAAATAAAATCTTCAAGTGGGTTTACTCACAAAAATCTTCAAATGTTGTTGTGAAACAAATTTGGGTTCCAAAGCAACAATCTCTAAAGGTTGCATTGAATTTGAATTCAAAGCCTAAAATTGTTGGTGGTTCTTATGAAGACATTCCTGGATCGTTTAAGAACACGAAGAACAAGATGTATATCACACATAGTGGGTGGTACAATGTTCAAATTAGAGATTTTCTTGTTCCAACAAAAGAAGCAAGATCTTCTACATTTTATTCGTTCGTTGAAAATGGAACTCGATTCATCAAAATGGTATCTCAAATTCTCAAATGCATTCCAAAACGTCAATGATTTCGATTTGTATTTTGCGTTTTTAATTTTTGATTGTTTTGGCTTTGTTGGATTAAATTTGTTTCAAGACCAATTGTAGATCCAACCTATTTTCTTTCATAGATCAAGCCCAAACTAAAATCAAAAGCATTTTCATTCAATAATCATCTAATCCAATTACTTACCCAAAATCATTCAATTTTTTTCTCGAGTCCAATTCACATTGATTGAGCCCATTATTCTTGATTTGTTTACTGTTCGTCATTACCTACCATTCGAAACACTACTAGAAAAACAGCTTTTTACGACGCTCATTGCGCGTCGTAAAAGGCTCAGATGACGGACAAATGCGCGTCAAGGAAGGCCCTGTCATAAAGAGAGACGACGCGTTTTTGCGCGTCGTCTATAGACGACGCGCATTTACGATGCTCATTTACGACGTGCAATTACGACGCGCGTTTACGACACGCAATGCGTATCAAGGAAGACCCTGTCATAAAGGAAGACGACACGCATTCGCGTGTCATAACCTTACGACGCGCGTGTTAATGACACGCAATGCGTATCAAGAAAGTCCCTGTCAAGAAAGGCCATTTTAGATGTTTAAAAAAAATATTATTTATAGATTTACTAATTTTCAAATTAAATAATACATTAAAAATCTCATAATACAAAATAAAATTCCATAAATAACAAAGATAATTTATTTCACTAATATGTCAAATACAAATAATTATTCCAATAGTGAGTAAATGTTATAAAAAAATGAACTCATTTATATACAATTGCATTATCTAGTTTACTATGTGCCAACAACTCTCTATGTGTTTACTTTTGCTTGAGTCTTGTTTCCTCCAAAGCTTCTAGCCATGTCAAAATATGATATCTTAGGGTTCATGTCCAAATCAAGTAAAACATTGCTAGCTTAAATTCATCAAGTCCTTAGCATGAAGTATTAGATAGAAGCTTAACTGCAATCTCCAATCCTTCTAGCAGACCCTAAAGATCATTATTGGCCATGTAGCAGGATCAACCTGCAATCTCTTTTCTGCCTTCTTATTACTTGTAGCATCTTCTGCCTGTTTGACCAAGGCTATGCCTTCAGCAGCAACATGTTGCATTGCGTCAAAAAGATAAAAATAGATGACAACAAATACAAATAACTAGAAGCCAAGGGTAAAAGAATAGAACACAAAAAGAAGAGGAACAAACTCCTTGGCTTCCCCTCCATTTAAATTTTAATGTTTTGAAACACATATGAACTATGTACCAGAATTGTAATAAGCATCATAATGACCCTTGCCAATCATTGCAAGCATTCGCAAAAAGTAATGATTGCAGTATGATCCTGCACAATCAAGGAAACAACAAGGTATGCAAGCTTATAAAATCTTTCAGATCTAAGAAAAAGTGGAAATAAAATTAAAGGAGAACGCAATGTCAATCACACTTACAATTAAAAACAAACTGCTTATTTTCTCTGTCAAAAAAATAAAATAAGTATGTATAGTAAAAGGAGGGAATAATAATGCGAAGCAATACCTATACCAAATGTGTTAATACGTGGGGCCAATTTTGATCCTTTGTTTTCTAGTTGTTTCTTTATAACTTCACAGATTTTTCTCTCATTTTCAACAGCCCCGTCAGTAATAAAGAAAACCATTGGAACTGAATGTACATAACAATCATAAATGCAAAGTAATTAGAGCTTACAAAACATTAAATGGAAAGAATAATTACCAGGACAAAGGAAAGGAAGACAAAGGTGAATAATGTCTCACTGACATATGCTCTTTCCTACCCAAGTTCTTTCACGAAAAATAAACATAATTATAAATATGATCATTAGGACTTTAGAGACATAAATAATGTGTTTTATGAATAAAGAAAGATCCGAGCATTGAGTTATACATACAGGAAGAAGAACCCGGAGTCTTGTAGAATTGGTCCTAGATGATGATAATAATGAACTGATCGAGCTGCCAGCCCATGAACGTACTAAAAAAAGTTGTTCCAAAATGATATATAATAAGAACATTGTGTTGCTACGAGAGTTAAGAAAATAGAAAAGAGTGAAATACTGGAAGATTTAGCTATCAACATATCACCAATATTGCAACATCATTGGTGAATATGGTAAGCACATTTTAAAATTTAATTGACTAGAAAAGTGGGAATTAATGGAGTAAAAAACAACTTTTCAAATCCACTATGAAGATATACATGCTTGAAAGAGATACAAAGTGCTAGCCAATAATACTGAGTGATAAAGAACATCATTACTGCTTGGAGCATTATGTCACCAATGTTAAATTTCAATGCCAAAATGTTGTGAGAAAATAAAATGTGAAGATGGCAGAGTTAACCTGCTTAAAGTTGCCCAAATCTTCAAACAGAACCTGCAGCATGACAAATCAGTTACTGGAATGTACAACATAAATAAAATTGAACAAGAAGTAAAGGAAGGGAAGGGGCTGTGTCTTTTCTGACTTTATGGATTACAATTTAATATATATATATATATATATATATATATATATATATATATATACATATATATATATATATATATGGTTATTCCGTTTTTCCTCTCTCTGTTTTTTTTTTTTTTTTTTTGGATCGCAACAGTTTAGAAACGAAACGGTACAAGACTTGAATGCTTACTTTTGCTTGTAGCAATCAGCATATGAAGTATACTCAAGCGGACCAAGATACCCTTCTTTCCTAGGATTTGCTGTTGTCATGTCATCAATTTACCTTATATCAAATCCTAATCCCCATTAATATTATTACTGTATGATCGCATCACAGGAGGAACCAATCCAGATGCTTTCACAAGATCAAACTGTGCACAACTCACCAAAAAACTGAAAAGCAAGCAAGACATGGAAGTATGCTCATAATCATAGATTTTTCATAATGTAAAAATGAATAAAATGAAAAATTCTAAGTGATGTACGTCCCTGTAATGACACGTGGTCAAACCATAACCAAAATAAAATACAGGAGAACAATCAAGTGAAAGGTAGATTTCAGCAGCCATATCCCATGCATCCCTATAATGACATGTGGTCAAACCATAACCAAATTAATCAAGATTCAAGAATTATAACATCATAAACAAGTTCATGTGTTTATTACCACATATGGTGTTGATGAGTTGGAGGTAACATTGGATAAGATACAGGAGAACAATCAAGTGAATAATCAATAAAGGCAGATCTCCAGTTCAACTCACCAAGAAGTTTCTTACGATCAGTTTGTCTCCCAGGTATTCTATCTATAAGTGAATAATCAAGTGATTCATGTAGTAATGATCGAGTGCAAAACCATCTTAAGGCAATCTTGATGGGAGTTGTAAGGCAAGAAATGAAGACATCAACAGGAAACTCATGACTTTTTCATGTGCTTCACATGCTGCGAGTAGAATACAGTCTCTTGGTGAAGTTCCTAAAGAAGAACTTGAGGGAGTCCAATCCTGGAGTTATATACATATAAATGATATTCAAGCATTTAGTCAAACAATAATAACAATGTTGTCAAGAAATAAATAGTTAATAATACCTCTATGAAGGCATTGGCAATCATCCCTGCAACAGAACAATCAGAAACATATATGGACGGAGTCTTGAGCCATGAGTCAAGGTCACTGATAGGCAATGGAATATACCATGTATAACTCTACAACATTTGACAAGAATAGAGGAAATTAGTCTAGGGAAACTATTGAATACAAGGCATGAATATAGAAAGATAGTGCAAAATAAAAACATATAATTATCCTGTTAAAAACCAAATTTCACCATTGGTAGTTGGTTTAGGTGCACCATGACCATTATAATGGAAAATAACGCTTTCAGATTTGGCATATTTGCGACATGTATCACTAAAATATGCGGCTGTTTCTTGATCTTCATCCTCTTCTGTGCTTCCTGTAAACTCTAAAAAACAAAACATCTTTACATTTCCTTCATAAAAAAAAACCATTATTACAAAAAAATAAAAAATAAAAATAAAAGTAGAAACCTGCAGCACTTATCATAGAAAAACTTATCCTCACCATTTAAAGTCTCGGTGGAACTGAAGTTCTTTAGGCAACTTGTAATGGAATTGTTTTGCTCAATATCAAGGCTCGGATCTAAGAGTGTCTCATCTCTTGCAGTTACAGTCTCACATCTTAAACACTTTGTTTCGTTTGTGAGTATACCCTGAAATTGGAAAAATTAGGACAATTGTTGAGTTTAATATTTGATATTGGTAAGCTAAGTAAAATGAAAAATAATAAAGATATGAATATACCTGAAAGTTTTTGTGAACCCATGTAACCAAGGGCTCCTTTCTTACACCATTGGCCAGAGGGACATGTATGCCATTGGGAATCTTTTCAGGAGGTGATGAATGTTCTTTTGTACCTTTTGTTTCTTTCTCTAGTATATCAACTAGTTCGTTTAACAAAAAGTTCAAAAATTCATGTGCATCCTACACAAAACTCAAAACATCATCAGAAAAATTAAGTGTAAATGGATTTTTATATTTGATGTAAGAGGTTGGTTTATTATATAATATAATTATAATACCTGATGCATGTAACCACGGAAAAGTTCATTTTCTTTCTTCACTCTTTGTACAAAGCGTTTTGGAGCAATAACACCTATTTTCTTCTTTTGTGTACTAATCTGATACAAGTAACCCAAATGGTGAATATAAATCATGAGGAAAATAAAATGCAACTTAAAAAATATGGAATGGTTACAGATATGGAAAAAAGCCCATTGTGTAGAATATAAAGTGACTAAGAGAAAAGAATAACTACCATTAAAAGCTTATTTACAAGTAAAAATGTATACCTGTGTAAACAGTTCTGCCAAACATGTAAGGAGATTTTCTTCTACATCTGGATTTTTAACCTTCTCATAATATTTGAGTAGTTGTTCACGAAATGGAACACAAAAATATAGACCCTGAAAATTATGATTTAAGAAAAAGATATATGAGAACATTAGCAAAATACTTCAGGTCAAACTTTGAGTGAAGTTATAACAAACAATATGCTGCTGGGTTTAGCATATAGCAACAGCAGCCTCCAGCAAATCTCTAAAGCGAACTACTTTGATAACCATGTGAACTCTAACTAATAAAACTAAATCACCCACTACAAGCTTTTTGCTTAATAACTATTGGTGCAACTTACTCAAGCATGGCAAAATACAACTTTATGTGGCAAGCATACATGATAACAGGTCACCCTACTCATCTAATCAGTATTAGTGGGAAACTAATAGGTCAGACACAAACAGACATACATCTTGTCTGATAGCAGATTATCTCAAAAGCATATAAAATGCAAAAGGAAATCGGAAATGATGAAAGGGTAAATGCATGAAACAATAGATTACCCGGTCCATATGGAAACAATAGATTAACAGTAATGAAAACAAACATTTAACCCTCAATTAGTTGGGTATGCTAAATAACTTAATGAAATTACATATGAAACTAGGTTACATGCTTTATAGGTTTCTTCTTTTTTCTCTCACAATCAGAAATTTTAAAAGTAACATCTCATATTCATTTATTCAAACAGGTTACCTGCTCTCATGGTTCATGAGTGGCCAAATAAAAATTTTCCAAATTCACTTTTTTTTTTGTGATCAAATCATTTGTCTACGGAGAGTGATTTCAATCAGGTAAATCAGGTAATTATCATAAACATTGATCATAAAATTTTCTAATTTCTTCAGATAAAACACAAAGGGAAGAACTCACATGGAGTCATGAGCTTTGGCGAATCAGAACTAATTAGCGAACCATGGGAAGGCAAGAAGTAGGCGATATGGAGAACATTTGTTAGCAGAGTAAGTCGACGACTAAGAATGTGTTTTATTGGTGTTGTTGAGGTGTGTCGAGAGCATGACAAACATACCTTAATCGGCCCTATGGCTTAGAAACTTGAGCAATCGTTCCAGTCTCCGGTAAGGTGAGGTGAGCCTGAGGTTTCCGGTGGAAAGAGGTGAGTTGAGGTCGCTTGTAGGTGAGGAGAGCCGAGCTAGAGAACATTACACAAAGCACTCCTTGAAAAAAGCCCTAGATAATGGTCCCTATGATTTTTTGATAATAAATAGTCTGTTCAATGAAGACGAGGGTTGGAAGACGACATTCAATGAAGTTTTCCCTAGATAATGGTCCTCATGAGAGTTCGCCTTCAAAGATTCTTCGTGGATCTTTGTCCTCAAGAGTTAGAAGCATTCTTGCAGCATTACAGATTTTTCTGAGTTGTTCTTTTTCAACTTTACATCGTAGACTGTATTCTCCGACCAATTTCAACTTTGAGTCTAGTCGTTCCTTTTCATTTGAGCGTCGATAATTAGGGCAAAGGGGAAAGGAGGGCAAGAGGGAAAGGAGAAAAAAGAAAGGCAGGGTTTTCAATTATTTAGGATTTCATTTTCCCCCTGCCTGTTTATTAGGGGATGCAACACGCGTTGCAAAAAAATTTATAAAGCGACATCCATAGACGACACGTATTATATTAGAGGTGCCCTCCGTGTTTTTTTTTTTTTTTGGATTAGACACTAATTTAAGGGCACGCAATAATGCGTGACCTAAATCTTTAAATTTTTTTTAAGAGATGTCACTTTTTTAATGTCACTCTCTTTTGCGTAACATAGATTAATGAGTGTCGCGGTTTGCGTGTCGTAAAAGGCTATTTTTCTAGTAGTGAAACTCGGTAGATAAAAGGTTGGAAATGATGATCTTTAAAAGATTAAGTTCGACTGTTTTTCAGTCGAAACTTGTGTTGGGTTTCGGTATACTACAACATCCTATGGTGCAAATACAACCCTAAATACCTTGGATATATGTTTTCACTAATTATACATGCAAATGGTTTCCAAGGTATTAATCTTACAACTAGCATGCATTTAACATAAAAATATAATATACTAGTTAGCATGACATACCTTTTGATGGAGCTTGATTTCCTGGTGTATTTGGCCTTAAAGAGCTTTGCCCTAATAGTGTGGAAGCCTCAAATGGAATCACAACACACCATGGACAAACGATGAACTTGAGAGAGAATTCCATGCACACAAAAGACATCATGAACTCTAAAAAGATGCAAGTGGCGATTTTGGGCAATGAAGTATCTATTTATATGTGGGATTCTATGGTCATGGATATAACCCAAATCCATACACATGGGTTTTATGATCCATGGTTCATGTGGTCCAACTCTTTATGTATCCATACATAAACTTGCTCCAACATGGATCATAAGCCCAAAAAATATAAATATAACTAATTATCATAATTAGTCCCCATAGATTTAATTAGTCTCTTTCGACCACTAAATTAATTCTTGATCAATACTAATTAAAACATATGATTTCATATTAATATATTATTACTTATAATATATTAATAAACCATAAATAACCTTCTCTCAAAAGTCCATAATAACAAATTCTCCTGATGATATGCAACCCAAATGAAATGCCGTACTGAAATGTAACCTAGTACCCAACTCTCATGGAACTTCTTCCAGAACCTGGAAGTGAAACGCATGTCACGGTCCGAAATAATCGAGATCGGCACCCCATGCCGAGATACTACTTCCCTCACATACAACTCGGCCAACTTTTCCGCAGAAGAGCTCTCGCTAATGGCTAGAAACTGAGCGCTCTTTGTCAACCGATCGACGATCACCCAAATCGCATCGACTCCTCTCTCCGTTCGCGGTAACTTGGTGATGAAATCCATAGAGATGTGTTCCCACTTCCATTCGGGAATCTCTAGCGGTTGCAACTTACCGTGCGGTTGCTGGTGCTCGGCCTTGACCTGCGGACAAGTCAAGCACCTCTCGACAAACCAAGCGACATCCCTTTTCATAAATGGCCACCAGTACTCCTTCTTGAGATCTAAATACATTTTCGTAGCACCAGGATGAATCAAGAATTTCGATCGATGTGCTTCCTCCATCAAAATAGTGCGCGCATCGCCCACAAACGGCACCCAAATCCGACCCTGAAAAGTCATAAGCCCTCGACCATCCGTAACAAATCCTGATACCTAACCTACAACCCGTTCCTTCTTCTGATGCTCCGGCTTTGCAGCCTCCATCTGAGCCCCTCGAATAATATCCAGAATCGGGGTCAAAACCATCAATCTCATACAAATATCTCGGATCGGGGTGCTATCCGCCCTACGGCTCAACGCGTCAGCTACCACATTAGCCTTGCCCGGGTGGTACAGGATCTCACAATCGTAATCCTTCACCACATCCAACCACCTTCTCTGTTGCATATTCAGATTTGGCTGATCCATCAAGTACTTCAAACTCTTATGGTCCGTGTAAATCGTACACCGAACCACGTACAAATAGTGTCGCCAGATCTTGAGGGAAAACACCACCGCCCCCAATTCCAGGTCATGCGTGGGATACCTCGACTCATGAGGCTTCAACTGCCTCGAAGCGTACGCTATCACATGACCCCTCTGCATAAGCACCGCCCCCAAACCTAATATAGAGGCATCACAGTATACCACAAAATCCTCCATCCCTTCCGGGAGTGCAAGCACTGGAGCCTCGCATGATTTCTGACGAAGCGTCTCGAATGAGGACTGCTGCTCCGGTCCCCATGAAAATGTAACACCCTTCCGGGTCATCCTAGTAAGTGGCATAGCGATCTTGGAGAAATCCTTGATAAATCTATGATAATATCCAGCCAAACCCAGAAAACTCCTGATCTCGGTGGGCGATCTCGGCACCTCCCACCTCAACACCGCCTCAATCTTGGTCGGGTCGACCAATATCCCTTTCTGGTTCACAAGATGCCCGAGGAACTGGACCTCTCGTAACTAGAAATCACACTTGGAGAACTTGGCATATAGTCTCTCCGATCTCAAAACCCCAAGAATCTCCCTCAAATGTTCCTCATGCTGATCCCTAGTCCTTGAATACACCAAAATATCATCGATGAATATGATCACCGACCGATCCAGCATCGGTCGGCACACCCGGTTCATGAGATCCATGAATGCGGCCGGGGCATTGGTGAGCCCAAAAGGCATCACCACAAACTCATAATGTCCATAACGAGTCTTGAAAACAGTCTTTTGGATATCCTCCTCGCGAACCCTCATCTGATGATATCCCGACCTGAAGTCAATCTTGGAAAACCAAGATGCCCCCTGCAACTGATCGAACAGATCGTCGATCCTAGGTAACGTATATCGGTTCTTAACCGTCAACTTGTTCAACTCCCGATAATCGATACACATCCGATGTGAACTATCCTTTTTCTTGACGAACAAAATCGGTGCTCCCCAAGGCGGGCTACTCGGTCGAATGAATCCCTTTCCCAACAGCTCCTGAAGTTGCGACGATAATTCCTTGGCGAGCGAGACGATAAGGCGCCTTGGCGATGGGCACCACTCCCGGAACCAAATCGATACGAAACGCCACTTGCCTCTCCGGAGGCACACCTGGTAACTCTTTGGGGAACACATCCGAAAACTCGCATACAACCGGAACGTCATCAATCGAATTGGGCCTCTACACGGTTACACGAGTATCCATCACGTAGGCTATGAATCCATCACAGCCCTGCTGCAAACTCTGCCTTGCCCTGGCAGCTGAACAAAATGCCGACCCACACCGGGTCCCCTCGCCATAAACCGTGAGCACTCCCCCACTAGGGTCTCGAATCATCACCAGGTGTCTCTCGCAATCAATGACTGCTCCAAACTCGCTCAACCAATCCATGCCCACGATAACGCAAACATCCCCCATAGCTATAGGGACCAAGTCTATAGGAAACTCGACCCCAAAAATCTCGAGCACGCATCCTCGAATCACCTCGGTGGCGTATACTGCTTTCTCGTTTGCTATAGCAACTCGCAGGGGACGCCTCATCGCCTCCCGATCGATATCGATGTGATGGATAAAAGCCAACAAAACAAAGGACCGACTCGCACCCGAGTCGAATAATACCAAAGCAGGCACATGATTCACAAGAAAAGTACCTACGCATATAATAATATAAGCACAATATCTCAGTATAAATGTAAATACATGAAAGAATACATACCGGCCACGACATCAGGCGCCGCGCGGACCTCCTCCGCAGTTAATTGGAAAGCTCTCCCACGAGCCTTCGGAGCCTCGGTCTTCACTGGCCGAACCTCAGGAACCCTGGCAGCAGGCGAAGATCCCTGGTGAAGCTGGGGGCACTCGGCCTTCCGATGGCCAGTCTGGTTGCAATGGAAGCAAACCATGAATCCCTTGGGGCAAGCCCTAGCAATGTGCCCCTCCTTGCCACACTTGTAGCAAGCACCCGATCGACATGCCCCCTCGTGACCCTTGCCACACTTCCCACAAGTGTGGCTCTTCTGACCTCCGGATCTCAAA